GAAAAAAAAAAGATAAAAAAAAAGTGTATCAGGTTATTTTTCACAAGATGCAGAAATGTGTCTATGGTCTGAGACGCATTTATGATGATGGAATCTTATATAAATTGGTGAGAAAAAGGGGGCGCTATTGAGGAGAGTAGTTCTTACCTTTATCATGAACAATTTTATCATTTACAGCTGCATTTCTTATTCTTGCTCCCTTCTGTGAAAACCCAGTGGGAAATAATAGTATATCCTGTTATATTGTTATATGTGAGGTGCTTTACAAAGTCCTTCATATAAAGTAACTCATCTCTCTCCATTTTATAGATGAAGAAACTGAAACTTAGAAAAGGTGATTGGTTGTTAATTTCCAAGGTCATGCAGCTAGGAGGTAATAGAGTTGGGTTTAGATTCCAGTCTTTTTGTTGGGCTCTTTCAAGAACAATGCCCGCCGTCTGTTGGAGGAGGCAGCTTATTATAAGTCTGCATTGGAAAAGTAGTTAGAATCTCTTGAGGAGAATCTGTTTCAGGTATTTCTATTTTATGAAGGCAATTCCACCTTTGGGTGCCTTGTTTGTGTTCACCTGCTGTAGAGAAATTCCTCAAGTTGCTTTTACTTTCTGTATGCTTCCATGGATTATATGTTGTTGCTTGGAAGTTAATAAAAATCTAAAATATTTTGTTTTCTCCCTGTTGGGGCAAAACAGATGCAGTTTTGATCTCTAGTATTCATTTAGGACTGTTATCATTTCTTTGATGTTAAACATACTTTTGATAAGATGTGGATTTAGGAGATTATGTTATTTTTTTTTTAAGATGAATTTACATGGCAAAAATAAAATTTGACAGCTGTGGTAGGCATTGATAGGACTCCTCATGATCTGTTCTTTTGCTCTTTTTTCTGGGTATACAAGTCCCAGTCCCTTTGCAGTTGGGTGAGGTCATGGAACTTGTCTGACCAATAGAAGTGATGTAATTCACCTCCAAGCTGAGGCACCTAAAAGCATCTCCAATTCTCTCTTCTTCTGTTGCTGCAACCTAGAAATTATGTGTTGAGATCACAGATACACAGGAAAGAAGCAGACTGGATCCCCGAGTCGCTGCTTGGAATGGAGGTGCCTGGAGAGGCTCTGGGCCTCCAACCAACTTTGTCTGAGTGAGAAATCAGTTTTCTTTGTGTTAAGTAACTGAGATCTATGATTGTTACTGCATAATAGCCTAGCCTATCCCAACTAATGTATCAATTTTTAGTCAACCTCCTCTTCTTCATTTTGAAAAATTTACTGGATTTTGAAATCTAAATGTCAGAGAACCAATCTTGAGTAGATTATTTAAAGCTATATAAAACAATCTCTCTCTCTTTATATTATATATGTGTATCTATATATGTGTGTATATATACACTATACACATACATACTATAGAGTTTTAAAAAACATAGTCTTTAAAAATATATAATAAAATATCTACTTAAAATTTATAATATAAATACATTTTATATATGAAATTATATAACTTGTAAGTTTTAAAGAATAAAATATATATTATATACTTAAAGTTTATAATATAAATAAGCTTTATATATGAAGTTATATAAATTACAAGTTACAGTAAGTTTTAAGTAATCTTTTAAAATATATATAATGTAATATATTTATGGTATGTGTATATATATTAGGTATGCATGCATACCTTTTTTCATAAAATTAAACTTAAATGAATTTAAGACCTTTATTTGAGAAGTGTTTTGAAACTTGGTAATATCCCTTACAGTAGTTAAGATTTCACAATTTCAGGGCCAGAGGTACTAGTGTAAACTAGCCAGGTCCAGGGCTGTCTTGATCTCTGTAAAGTGCTCCTAAGAGCAAAGACACTGCCGTTGTTCTGAGTGACCCAGGCCAGTTCATGTCACCTTCAGATTCAAGCGTCTTCCTTAGGTCCAAGTGAAATCCCTCTTTAGTTCATTGAAAATCCATTCCTTCTTATTTTACACCTATGGAGGTGGAGATAAAAAATTGTTCATTATGACTATCCTCATTAAAGCCCTTCATCTCAGAGGCCACAGCCCTTGTCATCACTTACCCTTCTCTTCCGCGAGATAACCAGCCGTGATTCGATTACCCTTTCCCCATAATCCTCTAACAAGATTTTGACTAATGCTGGTGGAATGGAGAGATGATTTGATTTCCTCGCGTGTGTGAAGCGGTCCCTTTGTCATAACCTGCCAGCGTCCTGTTGCTGCAGCAGCACCTTGTGCTTTGCAGGGGAGTGTGTTTCCTCTGCTCTGTGAGAGCACTTTTCCCTCATATCTGTACCCTGGCCCCATCTGCAACACCCTCTCTACCAGCTAAAATTTGACCCTGACACTTTTAGCGCTCTTTTCATTTCGGACTTCTGGATTTTGTGTCATGCTTATTAGTAAGACCTTTCCCCTACAACCTTGGTTTTTCATCCCCCTCACCCCCCTCTCAATTTTTTTTTTTACCTTCATGATTCTTCTTGATTCCTGATGACTTCAGCCTCAATCAACCTTGGCTTCCTTGTCTCTCTTCCTGTATACTATATGCAATTATGGTCATTTGTGTAGAAATAATCCTGTGCTATCTCAGTAGAAGGTGCTGAAGGTCTCATATGTGTTGCCAGTTCTCCCCTCCCCCACCCCCAGGAAGTTCGCTGTCATGGACCTGCAGTTTTACTCTGTTGTGTCAAAACAGGATGAGCTTCATCCCTATTTACCAGGCCTCTAAATTTCCAAAGTAGTTGTTACCTCACCTCGTCCAATTCCTAATGGCATATTTTCCAAAAATCCGGAATAAAATAATATTGTTCGGGATGAAAATAATTGTCACAAGGAATTATTGGTCCCTGTGTTGTGATTTCAGGCATCTTTTGCAAGGGTGATGCACAGCTGTCCAGCCCCCCACCTCTGAGCTGCGCTCACAGAGCACACCCTGTCAGAGGGACGTTGGCCACGTGATTTTGCACCACCCCCTCCTGACTGCAATTAGACCTTCAAGAACTCTGCACTCTCCTATCATAACATGCATCGCACTCTACTCTAATTGCTTGCTTAATTGTCTTCCCCTCTGATTTCTTGGCTTTTTAGAGGCAGAGCCCATGTCTGTCTTGGTCACCATGATGTCCCTACGGCCTCGCACACTGTCTGACAAACAGGAGCTCATTTAATAAGCGGATGGTCCGTGAATGAATGGATGAAGGACCCAGTGCTTCCCAGAAACACAGTTGTCTCTCTCTGTTGTGTAGATTCAGAGGAAGGAGACCCCTGGGGCTTCTTGGTCATTTTCCCTGCTTTCTTCCCAGTTTCATAGCAGTTGAAAAGTATCTGTGTTGCTTCATGGAGGAAGACTGTGTCAACAGCTCACTTAGGTGAAACTTTTGAGTGGTGCCCTAGGAATGGGGAAGATTTGGCTGTTTTCTGTTTACCCACTTTCTCCTGTCTTTTGAAGTTTGGTCATTAACTAGTAGTGCCAAAATGAATAGTAACTAAACAGTCATCACTTCCACGACCAACAGCTAACATTTATTGAATGTTTGCTGGGTGCTGGGTCCAGTGCTAAGGACTTCATGCTGAGGATTATTTGCTCCTCAAAAGAGTTCTGCAAGAATAAGCCCCTCTTGTTTAGATAAGAACATAAGGTCCCCAGTCAGACAGTTAGCAAATGTTAGAGCCAAGGTCTGACCACAGGCACTCCATTCCAGACCCCTTGTCACACCCTCCCCTTTTATGAAATGGATGGTCACGTGCCAGGTTTATTCCAGGTGAAGATAAATCACTTTTCATGCTTTCTGCTCTGCATTCCTCTTCATTGCTTCCCTGTCCGTCACTTGTGAATTACTTCTCATGATTCTCCTATGATCTTGACAATAATAAGTACATCAGAGAGGCTCATCTTCAGATGAAGAAACTGGAGCACAGAAAGTTGAAGCGACTTGCCCATGATCACACTGGAGTAGGGCGTCACTGCTTCCATTTGGCCATTGGTGGCCCCAGGCTGGCTTATTTGATAATCTTCTTGAAGGATATTGAGATGTGGGGGAAGCATTTGCTTCCCCACATCCCCTGAGTTCTGTGTGATGGAGACCTGAAGCAGAGTATGAGTCATTGGCTTGTATTCAGTTTCTATTAGTAAAAGGTTTTTCCAGGTCCCACAATTTTCACCATGAAAGGTCTTCTGTGAAGCAGAGAGAAGCAGTTTGAAAGAAGTTATTAAGCATTATTAATACAATTATGTATAACAAAAGACACAATTTAACTTCCCCATACCCAACTAAGAGATTCATTTGAAGCTTCAGGAACTCCAGCTGAAAGGGCAGAGCTCAGGGGGGTGGGTTCTCCAGGCAGGGAAGTGGAGAGTGTGGGCAAGGCGCTGTGCTGGCGGCTTTGTCCTCAGGGACACTTCTGCAGTATGGAATACACCTCTCCCCAGCCCCTCCCTCACCGCCGCCTGAGGACCCCACAGTGCATCCTCACTGCAGGCACAGAGTCCAGCACACTACCTAGACAGCACTGAAAGAACAATGGATTTTAAACAATAAAAGAGGACTATGGATATACTCAGAGAAGAGACACAATGGCCAGCCCAGTGGAAGGAAAAGCTTAGTCCATTTTTTTTGTTTTTATTTCACCCAAAATATCAGAAATAACTGTTACTTACTGCTGTGCTTGGTCACTCAGTCATGTCCATCTCCTTTCAAGCCCGTGGACTAGACCCTGCCAGGCTTCTCTGTCCGTGGAATTTTTCAGGCAAGAATACTGAAGTGAGTTGCCATTTCCTTCTCCATATTTAGACTTCCCTGGTGGCTCAGCTGGTAAAGAATCCACCTGCAATGCAGGAGACCCTGGTTCGATTCCTGTGCTGGGAAGTCCCCTGGAGAAGGGACCAGCTACCCATTCATGTAGTCTTGCCTGGAGAATTCCATGGACAAAGGAGCCTGGCAGGCTACAGTCCACGGGGTCACAAAGAGTCGGACATGACTGAGAGACTTTCACTTTACTGTCCATATTTACCCTTGCTGGTAATTGTGTTAGTCCTCACCACATTTCCACTCCGTATTTTTACTTTATTGCATTAGAGCAAACACGTACCTATACCCAGTTCCTAGAACAGCTCATGGCACAGAGTAGGTACTCAGAAAATATTTATTGAATAAAAGGATGTTACAGATGAAGAAACTGCAGACCCTAAGGGTGGAAATGCCCTGCCCAGAGTCACATCTCTAGCAGAAAGCAAAGTCAGGATTTAAACCCAGGGCTATCCAATAGGATAGAGTTCTTTCTTCCTGACTGTTTAGATAGGCCTCTTTGTTGGTACAAAAAGATGGAGATTGAAGACCCAAAGGTCTTTAACAGAGCCGTAGACTGAGGTCCAGGAAATGAGCGTTCTGGCCCATCCTTGTGGAATCCCTGTGTGGCCCTGGAAAAGCTGCTTCTCCATTCAGAACCTGAGTTTCCTAATGTGAAAGGTGAAGAGATGAAAGTTGTGCTGTCTAAGGTTCCAGCGGCCCTCAGAAGCGTCTGCAAAGCTTTCTGGTTTGTCATCTCTCATGCTTACTTGGCGCTGGGGTCAGGCTTGACAGAGTAGCCAGTTCAACAGCCAAGCACTTGAGGAAAGCAGTCATTTGTGTTTTATCTCAAGGTGCACAAACATTCAAGGATGACATAGCCCCAAGTCAGAAAATTCCCTGAAATGAAAGTTGGAGAGAGAAAAGAAAGAAAAAGAAAGTAGAGACAATTGGGGGGGTGGGGGTGGGGGAGAGCTCTGATTGCAACCTGCGTTGATGCAGCACATAATCTGAAACAGGCGCTCAGGTTCATAACTGTGCCCAGATCTGATCCCTGGCACATAAGAGCAAAGCCTTTAAAAAAAAAACAAAACCAAAAAAAAGGTGTGCATCTTTAAAGCCTCTCTTCTGCTATGTGATATTTTTGTACCCCTTTGGAGGTTGTGTCGCTGGGGCGTTTGCATCCAGCAAAGGCTTTCTTCCTCCTTCCTGGCTTGGGGATTATTGATTTGGAAGGCGAGGCTAATTTACATGTAAATAAATCTCAGCGCTGGGCAGAGGGGACGGGACATCCAGATGCCGTGACTGACTTGCTGACGTCACGGCTTCATTAGCATGCGGAGGATGCGAGCACTGCAACAGCGACTTCGGCACCACCAGCAGCTCCGCCGACAGTTATTAGTGTTTCTCGGCGGAGCTGCACAGTTCCTGGTTCTGTGTCTTGAGCTCCGCGACCAGCTGACTGGTTGCCCCCGGGTCCGGCTCAGGATCAGCTGGTGACGCTGAAGCTGGGGTCTGTGACTTCCTGCAGATTGTCGTGAAGAAAGGGAGTTCATATGGAACTAGGGTTCTCGGGAAGGCGAACGGATCCGAAGGGAGAGAAGAAGTCACACTTTTTCCCCTGCCTGGTGGATCCCAGGAGGGTCTGAATCCAGCAGTGCTGTTCTGTGAGCTAAGGCAGAGCAGCGCGGGCTCCGAGCTTGCTGCTGCTGCTGGCCTCAGGAAGGGTCCTGATTTGGAGAAGGGTTTCCAGAAAAAGATGCTTTGGCTGCCTGCCGTCCTGCTTGCCTTCTTAGGAGCCAGACCCAGGGGAAAAGTGAACTGGGGCAATTGACAAGCTCAGAGGGTCTGGCGGAAGCTTCTATCTAGACTGGGAATTTCACTCTCCCTTGAGGTAGGTAAGAAATTTGTTGGAATTCACGAATTGAACAACAGTGTATTTTCTAGGAAGGATGAGAAGGCTAGATCTAGAGGCTTTGCATGGGGGGGTGGGCAGGACATCGGGGCTCTCTTATCTTGGTGGCGAGGCTGTTTTCTGCGGCCCTCTGGCACCTCTGCCCTTATGCTTATTGGAAAGCTCAATTGCACAGTGCATTTCACAGTTCTAGGGAGTCCTGAAGAATCACTTAAGTCGTTCTGCTTTAGAGGCAGCTTTTCTGTAAAAGAAGTGCAGCTGTCCTTAAAAAAAAAAATACTAAAATGGGAGAGGGTTTAAAAACCAAGCACACTTCTGCCTGCGTGCTTGCATTTTGGCTCAGGTTGTCAGAAACCATTAGAGGCTCTGGAAGATGAAGACTTAGGTGAGACTTCCAGGCGAAGAAATGGCGCTGGAATTATTTAGGTTTAATTTTAGCCAGTGCTTTCAGATTAGAAATGGTGACAGAGCTCCAGAATATGACCGCACAGCCCAGCTGAAACACATGACTCGGTGTGTTCTCTACATTGGGTTTCTTGGTGGAGTGTTCACAGTGAGCTCTCCTCAGCTCTCGGTTTCCCCAAAGCCAATCACAGCATCCCTCATCTGCCATGAAGGTCTTGGTGATGAAAGACAGATTTTTAATCCCCCCCCTCTTTTTTTTTTGTTTTGTGGTCTTAGAATATGCTGAGGTCTGATGGAGCTTTTTATGAGCCATAAATAATCCGGGCTGGGCCAGATCACAGGGGGATAAGTGGTCTGTACCAGCTGTGATGCCATCCATGGGTCCAGGCGTGGCTCTTGTATAACTTCCGCACGTATGCGATTTCCCCGGAGAGTTCTGCTTCTAGCCAGTGCATCCATGGCCAGTCGGGGGAGGGCTCCAGTGTGCTGTGACTCTGTAGACAAGGCCTGTCTTGTACCAGAGCTGCAACTTGCAAGGCTGCAATTTGCTTTGCTTGAATATCTCTTCCCAGAGAGTGTTTTAAACCGTCTCAGGGAGACTTAAACTAAATGAAGCAGCCTGGCCTCCTTGCTGGAGGCTGAATTGGCTACTCTAATCCCGTTTCCCAGAAGGCTTCCTGGATGCTGATGGCTTTCACAGATGGGTCAGGATGAGTGTCCCCTTGGGCCCCAGAGCAAGTCACAACTTTAACAGAATTACTGTATTTTGGAAATTTGGATTTTAATGCCTCCTTGAGTGCTTGTAAAGGTTTTGACTTTCCATCAAATGCTCTTTCCCCTTGAAAATTTTTTTTTTAATGTGAAAATTAAATCATGTTCGCTCCATCAGACATTATAGCCTGTAAACAATCTTGGGGCCACCAGAAATGGTAAAATAGCATTGTTTGAAATGGCAGGTTTGTAAAGGTTCACCATGCAATGTGGGGGGTGGGGAGAGAAATATTGGAAGGAAGGTGCATTCATGGAAGCTTGAGGAATGAACAGGGAATTTCGCAGTTAGGCAGTAGGGTATGATGTTTATTTATCATCAAGGACTCAGACTCTGGATTCAGAAGGAGGTGAAAATACTTGAGCTACCTTTCTGAATATTGTTTCCTGCTTGTATAATGAGAAGAGCGGTAGAGTCAACAGGCAGGTGTAAGGATGAGGTGACATACGGAAGCACCTAGCACAGTGCTAGCTACATAGTAAATGTCCAGTAAAAGTTAGCTGTTGGTGTTGTTACTGTTGTCATTCTTACCTTTTTATCATTATTTTAATAAGTGTAGTTGCTAAAAAAAAAAAAGACAGCTCACTGAAACGGCAATATGCTCACATCCATTTGGGTGCAGAGAGGTTCAGCCGGCAGCAAAGGTGCCATCTTCAATCACTGTAATGTCCCAAACCACTCCCACTCAAAGCCACTTCCCACCCTACTGACTGAGTTGACATAATAAAGTGTATTGTCTGTCTGCTGTATTTTGCAGAGATAGAAGTGACCTGATGCTATGATGAAAATCATCTAGCGTCAGCTGGGGCTCAGGCACCCTTAAAGAAGTTCTCTTGTTTGACTGCCAATGAGTCTCATGTGGACCATTGCAGGATCCAAATCAGAATGTATGCACTTCTGGATTTCTGTGCATATTTCTCTTCTGATCCAACATTGCATGTGTAGGAGGCCTGCCTTTTCTTTCTTCTTTCTGTGTGATGCAGACACTAAGCAACAAAAGGAGGCCTTTGAATACGTTCTTCACCTGATGAATGGCTCCTTGGAAGTTCCATGGCTTCATTTATGCCATCATATTGGTGATGTTAGCTTATGGGTCGGCTGTTAAGGGAAAAGAATGGTACTCCCTTCCCTACCTGCCTGTGACCCAGGCTTCTGCCCTTGACTTGTGTCGATATACACCATCCATCTTTCCTAGATTTTTGCCCTTCCTCTGTCCTGCTGACAAGCATACTTCAGTCATGCAGCTTGATAACTGTTTCTCCCTGGTCCTTCAGCATCTTTGTTTTAAACGTAGATGAACTGGAACTCCAATGCAGAAGTCTGAAGGACAGCTTATAAGTGACTCCTTTACAGTCAGAGGAGTCTGGCTTGAAGTTCTTTCTGCAGAAACTCAAGACTCAGGAATTGATCACTCTGGGCTGTAATAAAGTTGTGTCTTGCATAGAAAATCATAGTTCTCCCTTAATGATGGCCTCCCTCTGTGCCTCCTGATTGTATGTGTGATCTTAGGAGAGTAGCTTGAGCTTTCTGAACTTTGATTTCCTCATATAAAATTTAGGCATAAATTCCCCTGACTCACTGGGACTCATGGGCTTGCCGGGGAATGGGGGCAGCACGGCCTTTGCCCAGTTCTGGCTCCTATGAGGTACTCAACTTGCCTTCCTTCTGGGGCTGATGACTTTGACATTTCCCGTTGAATCCGAACCTGTGAACCCCAGGGAGCAGTAGTTTTCATACTCATTTGACAGAGGAGACTGAAGGCCAGAAAGGGAACGTCACGAACCCTCAGTGACACAGCTGGTGACCAGCCCTGGTACCCGTCGACTGCTGCTGCTACTGCACGTGGATTGCAAAGGCTCTGAGTCTGAGCAGGGCTTCTGGTCTCCCTTCTGTCATGCTGGTCTTGAATTAACAGAAACCTCTTTCTTTAGAAGCCAGAAACATGGTCTTCTTTCTTCTCTGTTGTTTTCAAACACCCAAGAGCGAAAATACTCTGTCCATCAGACAGTAATGCTAGGTAGCATTTGGGTAAGGGCTTTTCTTTTGTGCTTGAAGACCTACTAAAACCTTTCTCTATTCATACCCTCCTTGATTGTCATGCTTATAATAGGTCATTGCTGGTGACCATGAACTATTGCCAATTAAGAAGCTGGAGGTCTAGGCATTGGCAAAATTGTTTCCCTCATTTATGCTCTTGGCTGACATTTGCCACTTTGCTCTTTTCCCCATCTGAAAAGATTGTTCATGAAACGTTCTCATTCTTATACATTGTCTGTGTGTGTAGGATGTGTGTGGGGGTCGTGGTGCTGGTGGGGGGTGGTTTGGGTGTATTTGAATGAAGCAGGGGAGAAAATGCTGGATAAGATGACATTGAGATTCCAGCAACATGAGTCTCTGACCGTCTCCACTGGGGACCTGGCTAGTTGATTTTGGAGACTTGGCTTTCTTATTTCTTTGGCATGCTCTTTGAACAGTTCTTTGTTCAGAGTCTGAAATCCAGAAGCAATCTTCTTCCATTATTTCCCTGGGGACAAGGCAGAGGGAGAAAGAAGGTGGAGGGAAAGAAAAAACGCAGATTGCGGGGGGGGCTGCTGTCTGTGAAGACAGAGATTAGAGAGATTGGATGAAGGAGTCAGGAGGACGGGAGAGAGGAAGCAGCTGGGAGAATATCAGAGCTGTCTCCAAACCACCATGAACGTGCTAAGCCAAAGTTCCCTTCGGGTGACGTCGCAGCGCAGAAGACAAGCACCTGTGTCGTACGTCAGTTAGAAATGCCTGTCCCCGTCTGTCCTACAGAATCCGTGCTCACTGTCTGTCGTGTCCGACGCATTGGGCTGTACTTCACCGGACTCCTCCACCCATGGGGTTTTTTAGGCAAGAAAACTGGAGTGGGTTGCCATTTCCTCCCCCAGGGGATCTTCCCCACCCAGGGCTTGAACCCGAATCTGCTGCGTTTCCTGCCTTGCAGCTGAATTCTTTACCACTGAGCTGTGGGGGGAGCCCACAGAATCCTTAAACAACCATTTACCATGTTAGGTTCTAAAACCCTATATGAGGCTCAGAACAGCACGTGTTTTCCACCGGAGCACCATGGCCTATTTTTAAAAGTGCATTTATTCAAGAGGGCACATTTTTGAGTACCATACGAGCTAGCCAGCCTCCTTGGTGGGTGTGTAGCCTGTACTTCCGCACATATTTGGTTGTAAAGTCCATCAGGATCAAGTCAGCTGAACTGAAGACTCAAGTTTCATGAGAGCTGACATAGAAGACGAGGCACAACACTGCCCAGAGCACAAAATCCAGAAGCATCACTGGTTGGAAGTGGAGACCTCAGGGGAGTCAGGACTGCTGGCCTTGTTGGGGAAAGTGTAACCAGAGTCTTGGTCACTCGGGACAGTGGGATAACCTCTAGGAAGAATAAATAGTGGTGATTTCGGATACGCCCTGTTCTTCCTGGTTCTGGCATTTGTGCATAAACCATCTTGGGGCACTGGAAGGAACACAGCGTCTTTCCCCTGGGATGTGAGGTAGAGATGGAGCCAGGCTGGGGCACCTTTCACAGTCAGCGCTGCGCCTGTCTCACAGTAGGTGGGGACTTGAGTTGTCTCCATTCGTCTTGCACTGGAAGCACCATTGACTTCAGCTCCCCTACCCCTTCTCGGTTTTTAAATATCAAACCTTACAAGTAGGATCCAGCCCCATCCAGGGTTAAAAGTAACTGGGACAAGAATTCTTAGCATTTCATTCCAGCTGGGCAGAATGCCATTTTTCCAGCCCTTTTCTTGGCATCCACTCATCAGTTTTG